GCTTATCAATCTTTTACTACACCTAGGAAAGGAGAAACGTATAAACAAGAATATAGCTGCTTCAGCTCCCGCCAGAATTCAACCCAGAATCTAAAAAAATAAAATATTCCGAAGTACGAGATGATACGAAAACAGAATCCAACTATCCTCTCTTTCCTCCAAGGAAGTCTCCACCTATACCCTTGAGCTAAAAGAGTAAATAAAGGAAATATCCTCTGCCTATTAAATTTCTTCTGCCCTTCACTCCTAAAAAAACCACACATGAGCAAAACTGCATTATGTTGTGAACACTACAACAGATAATACTTATAATTCTTTCATAGATAACAATAGAGATTATCTGCATAAACACGCGACTTTTAACACGTAGCCCATTGAAAATATAAATAATAAAAGTGGACTCACCCACAAAATTCTGGGTCCAACTCCATAATAAAGTCACGAAGACTTCAAGGAACTAATAAACGAACTCACTCATCGGATGTTGTAACAGAGCCGATTCCTATCCTTACTATCCAATCGTACTTACCTGGACAAGATGGTTGCGGTCCAAGAAGGATGAAAGTGGCAAAGAGGTGTCCTCACCCAAATTCGAAGGGGTGGAATAGCAGTGATCACTCTAAGAGACTGGGAGTGCATTATTGAACGACCCTGTCGCGACCTCTGCAATACTTGAGGATAAATTCCGCGATCTAGAATCGCAGGCAATTCCTTGCGCACTTGCTTACACTGGACCTGCAAAAAAGACGTGGTCCTGACGAACATGCCAGCTGATCCAATTTCTAACGGAGCGGCGCAAAGGGATCAGCATCGTGAGAGATATAAACAAAGACGCTACGCTTGTAAAACTAGAAATAAGAAATGAATGTGACAGAAAAATAAAAAATGTTAAGAATATTCTAATAAGTCTAGGCCATACACAGCACAGTGAGAAAATGCTAGGAATTGTACAGTCCTCTGTTGAATCAGCTATATTAAGAAGAGACTAAAAATAATTTTATCCGCTCAAAATATACAAATTATAATTAGATGTTTTATACACAAGAATAATATGCATATTAATAACGGAAAAAAAAACTCTCTATATACAATACATATACAATATATTGGGAGTAATTAGTTCGGTCCGTTTTCCAAAAGATGGCTCCGGCTGTTGTGAATGGTTCATAGTGACAGCTGATTTTGGCGTTTTCAGAGAGGTTAGACATCTGCTAATAATATTCAGTTTATATCGCTTTGAGTTTCATACAAAAACCTTGATTTTTACTGTGTTTGAAATGTCTAATTTTGTGTTAAGCAGCATTTGCGGGAGGTTCTAATTTTCTGCTTTAATTGGAAGAAAAGTGCAGCTGAAGCCCATCGAATGCTTGTCGAAGTTTATGGTGACATTGCTCCAACTGATAAATCATGTAGGGAATGGTTTCGATGTTTCAAGGAGATTTCAGCGTTGAAGACAAGCCTCGCTCTGGACAGCCAAAAAAATTCGAAGACAAAGAATTAGAGGCATTACTCGAAGAAGATCAGAGTCAAACGCAAGAGGAGTTTGCAGAATCATTGGGAGTAACTCAAAAAGCCGTTTCTGCACGATTGAGAGCCATGGGAATAATTCAAAAACAAGGAAATTGGGTGCCTTATGAACTGAAACCGAGAGACGTTGAAAGGCGATTTTTCACTTGCGAACAGCTGATTCAAAGATAACAAAGAAAAGATTTTTTTGCATCGGATTGTGATTGGAGATAAGAAGTGGATATTTTACAACCCCAAGAAAAAAAAAATACTACGCTAAGCCCGGTCAATCGTTGCCATCGATCTCAACATCAACGCCAAAGCCGAATATTCATGGTTCGAAGATCATGCTCTGTATCTGGTGGGACCAAAAGGGTGTTGTTTACTATAAGCTGCTGAAACCATGTTGAAACCACCTGGCGATTTCATTACGGGCGATCGGTATCGGCTAAAAATTAATCTGTTTAGTACAGCCATCAAAGCAAAAAACCGCGAATAGAC